GTAAAATATTCAGAATCAAATTACGGTAAAAAGTACCGGCACTTAGGGTACCGGAATTTTTTTTTCATTAAATCCATTTTTACTGGAACAAGTTATGGAATAAAAAACTGATATACCGTAATTTCTACTGTATAACCGTAAAATCACTGAATCACTCGAATTAAATATTACTGTAAAATTTGCATTCTAATACCTTACGGTAAAAATAGATTTTACGGTAAAATAGGTTTTTACGAATGATGCATCCAAAGTGCAGGTACTTTATACCGTAATTTGATCCGGAATCTTTACGGTTTACTTAAGAAAATAGTCAGTTAGTGGAGTATTATTTTGAAATGGAGTAATATTGTGAAGCGTTTATATCTTGAATTAAGATCTCAAAACTTAAGTGAAAGTGAAAAATGTTTTGTTATCACTAAGCAATGCATCTTAGCGATAAACTTAATTTTAAATTGTGGTAAATATTAAACATAATACTTTAAAATTTATTTGTAAGCATTTTTCATTTTTTCCCACTTTTATTTGAATATGAAAATTTTATATTAAATGCTATTTTACTGCATAAATTTAGTATAAAGTATCTTAATTTTACACATAGTTAATTAATTATTATATAATATTTAGGTTATTAGTACCGAATATTAAATATTTCAGTTATTAGTACGGAATTTAATTATAGATTCTTGCATGATGCTGCAAAGAGTAAAAGTAAATGGCTTCTAAGAATATTGCTAACCAAAATGGCTTTTTAGAAACGATTCGAAAATAACATTTTACTATTGTTAGAATGTTTTTATAATTCAAAATTTAGGCGTTGAAATTTTACTGCCGAAATTCTCGAGTAGATTATTTAAGTTCAATTAAACAAATAAAATATAAGAAATAAACTGGTGTCACGCAGAGTGTCAGTTCTTAGAAAGGGTATTCATCCCAGTAGACGTTTTGATCTATTTTTTACTTAGAATATTTAAATCAAGTGAACAGGTTCATGGTCAAGGTCATTTAGGTGCATGCAAAGGACTTTAAACTGCACGCCAGTTATTTTCATCCCCACGTGGAACGACTCTCAAATAATGTTTCTTATTTTACCCCGTCATTTTAAATTTTTCAGAGTTGCATCATTTATTTTTTTCAAGAATTTGTTTACTTTAATTTAATTTAAAGCCATGACCTCTCATTGAGTATAATTACTTGGAATAGGTAAATTCCCGAAATTCAATGTTTATTTGTATATTTCAATTTTCTGGAATTTAGTCGCTCCTCTTGTTACAGTGTCTATAGAATTAAAAAATGAATATTTTATTAGACTAAAGCAAATGTCAGGAGCCAATGTAAGCCTAGAGCCCTGACCGTGGGCCCCCGAGGTAGTTATATTTATATATATTTATAGCACTAGTAAAAATATAGTTCTTTATCCAAATATTTTTCGTATTAAAAATTGCGTTTTTCATTTGATGCATATAGAAAATATCCAGGAACGTACTTAGATTTAGGTGTGCCCTATTTTGGTCTGACCGTAAAAAATTTAAAGCTGTAATGTATATGAATATTTTTGTTACTGTGAATGACTGAACTCAAGACAATGTCGACTTTCGCCTTTGAATGTCAACAATCACATGGTCGCTTTGGTGAATGTCCGAAGTAATTGTTATATCAGATTTGATATTAATTTATTCGTTGATCTTATTATATTTATTCGATATTTTAATGTCTGCTAAGGATAGATTAGGGGAAAGACAGTGTTTAGAGTACTGGTGAAATGCATACTGGGCAGTGGTACTCGACCTTAAAAAACAATTTACGGGGCTAATGTATACAGGGCGGCAGTGGCATTGAACTTTAAAAAAACATTGATGTAGGGCATACCGGGCAAATGTATGCCGGACAGTGNTTTCTAGTAAAAATATAGTTTTTAATCCAAATAATTTTCCTATTAAAGATTTTGTTTCCCATTTGATGCATATAGAAAATAGCCAGTAGCGTACGTAGATGTCGGTGCGCCATGCAAGATTTATTAGTGCGCCGTATCTTGGACTGATCGTAAAAAACTTAAAACTTCGATATAATCAGTCGGACCTGTTTATCTCGAATCTCCCGGGAAAGGCAAAAAATTTGAGATAAAGAGGTTTCGAGTTATACGGGCATTTTAAAAATTAAATTTAATTAAGAAATTCTATTAAAAGTGCTTTAATTATTTCTAATAAAAAATACAGGCATTTTTGTAAATTAATTATACTACATGCATCTATTTACATAATTTTTTTTTTACATACATTTAACCCTGAAAATAATTTTTCAAAGATTTTTTAAGTATAACCTTCTTTTTTCGATAATTCTTTCAAGGTTAGAAAGAGCAGCAAATCCGCCATAGACAAGATTTTCTTAGGATTTAAGAAAAGATTGTAAGAGTTCTTTGGCTTCTTTTGCTCTCAATTTCGGTTCATCAATATGATTTTCAACTCTTTCATATGATATTTATTTGGCATTATCCATGATTTCCGCATCAGTCAATGTTCCGCATGTTGTCAGGCAGTTGTCTACTTTAGAGAATCTTCAAAATAATTTCAAGTCTACATCTACAAGTTTGCGTACCAACTGTTTTCTATAGTTCACTTTAAAACTCCTTATTATCCATCGATCCATTGGTTGCAATTTTGAGGGGAAATTGAATTTCTATTCCCATCTTTCTTATCTATTTTGAAAAGCTATAGTGCGGCTTTCCTCCAGACTAAAAGTCTGGGCTGTCTGCTCCTATGGTAACAAGCGAGAGCACATTTCTAATTGGGATTCAAAGGAAGAATGAAGGTGTCGATTGGTTTACTCACACTACACTGACCTATGCCAAGATCAAGACAAAAATATTCACTCCACACCCCTATTCAAAGTGACTGTTTCTCGTAACCATGGTACCGGCCACGACGTGAGACTGAGGCAAAGAATCTCCTGAAAGCCGCACTATAACCGTTGGTGGTCACTCCGTCCCACACATCAACCCCTCACTAACTGCCAAAATCATTGTATTCTTTTCAAGTTAAGAAAGTGCAGGGATAGTGAATTTTTTCAAATCTCGTGCACCACCCAGCACCGCGGCTTGTGCGGGATTATTATTTAAGCCACTGATAATAACTTGGGCATGCACTTGAATTCTCACGAAGTAAAATTACTTGAAATCTGTAAATTTCCTAGATTCCATGCTTTCTTATTACTAAGGGCCCTGTGCAGAAAAAAAAAAAAAACAATTTACAGAAATCTAAATCATAGAAGTAGAAAATAAAACGTCGAAACATTTTCAGTTGATTATTTAAGCAGAAACTTCAAGCAGAAGAAAAAAAAATCTAATTTTTACTTTATGGGTTCGTGTCTTGAAAACCAAAACTTAATCTTAAGCAGTAGTAAATATTTAAAAATAAAATAATAAGAAAAAAAATGTTTAGTTTATCGTTTTTAAAAATTACATTAAAAAAAAATCCGAAAAAAAGAGTGAATTACATAATATTTTTCAGTAATTTAAGCGAAAACGTTACTTTGAGCTAGGGAACTCGCAGAAAAAGAAAATTAAGTTACCACAAAATGCTTTGCCCAGACACCCGCAAAGCCTAGCAATAGCATAAACAATGTCGATAAAATCTATTTTTGAGGTACACTCGTACATTTTCATAAAAACAAAAGAAAAATCAGCATTAAATTTTATGGAGGTCAAAAATAAGATCAGAAAACAATTATAAGCTATCTTTCAAAATCAATACACACAAAATCAATATCATTATTTTTTTTATCAAGATATAAGATTATAGATTATTATTGAATGTCTAAAAATAAATATCTTTATGTTTTTTTAAAAATTTTGTCATAATAGAAATTCAATAAAGGAAAAATAAAGAATTTGTAGACTTGTAGATTCACAAGTGATAAAAAGAAACAAAGCGTGTCGAGAGCTATTGATTTTATTTTTGTTTTAAATAGGTTAATTGAATCCCTTTCTCTCTCTTTCTTAGTTCAGTTTAATTTAATTTTCTTTTAATCTTTCATTAATAGGTTTAAAGCTTAATAGAGAATAAGGATACATTTACTTACATTTTATATTCTACAAATAGTTCACTATTTTTTGTACAAAAATGCACTGCAATGTTAAGAGTAAATATTGTCATTAAATTTTGTTCCTGAAAATTTTTAAAATTAATAATGGAGCATTCAAGGAGCTTTGTGAAAATCTCTTAAATTCAAACGAAATAGCGTATGAATTTAAGTCGCAGATGAATATGTCTAATTCTTGTTTCAACGCTTTTTTGTGACCTAATAATTTTTTTTCTCCAATTTTAGTAAAAGATAAATAAATAAATAAAAAAATTAGAAAGAAAAGCAAGAAAGAAAAAAGTTAACTCGTTTTGACTTAAAAAATGTACCAGGAAAAGAATTGAGTGGAAAATATTTACATAATTAATTTAAGCTTAAATAGCCCGAATTTAGTTTATTATTTTCTTTACTGTTTAATTTTAAAACAGATTAAATAAACTCTCATTTAATTATTAATTTTAATTTGCAGATATAAATGAAATTTTTAATCTGTTTTCTCCCTTAAAGTAAATTTTAATTGCATGGGGTTTATTTGTAACATTTTATTTGCCTTCATTAGCATCAGTATAAATTTCTAATAATTCCATTATATATTTTTTTTTTACCTTATGCCATTATTTGATACCAACTAAGAAAGTACTGCTCATCGATTGGCAATTTCATAACATTGCAACGTAAGCGGTTTTCTTTTTTTGCTGCTACTTTATTTTTATAACTTTAATTTATTGATTATTCCTGCATATTTGCGTGCAAAAACCGAAACAAGTAAATTAATGAACTGCATAACAAAATAAAAAATTAAAATGACACTAATTCGAAAAGTTCAAAAACGTATCCACGCGCCGAACGCTGCAAATTCGGCAAGTGGTTAATTTCCAGTACGTCATATTGCGCGCATGCGTACTTTTCGATAAGAATCACATGGAGTCTTGAATGGGCGCCAACTGCAACCTGAGTAGGTAAACTCCGGTGTTGCCATATTCATTCCTTGTATTGCCTTCTTTTCGGCATGGCGGTGTTGATGCTAGCTAAGCCGGCTTTATTAACATGTTTTGTTATTTGTGTCTTCCCATTGATCGTTTACGGAAATGTTATGAGACTTTTTACCAATAATCCACCGGATTTCGTTAATATTCAGAACTTAAAATCTAGCGTTCAGGATCTTGTTAGCAAAGTAGGAAATCGTTTGCGATGCGATGATCATGGACTTCAAAAAGATGAATGTATGAAGGTAAGTTGTTTTCTTTACTGCTTCGTTGCTATAGTAACCAAGTCGTGAGAAAATTTTGAATTAGTTATTCATAGCTTGTCGAATATTTTCAGGAGCAAGAACAATAAATTTATAGGAAGGATATTGGAGAATAATTCTGAGATTAAATTGGATATTGTTTCTTCATATTGTAGATTGTTTTTTATAGAAAAAAAATTGTGTTTTACATCATTACTAATAGCATTTAATAACATCAATAAATATCTTTAAATAAATCTTTAGTAATTAAGAATCTTTTCAAATAAAATTTAAATTAATAAGTCTCAAATAATTGTTAAATCTTCATAGATTTAAATAAGAAGTATTCGATATTAGCGTGTAGATGCGATTAATTTCCATTGTTAATTTTAAATATTTATTATTAACAATAATTAATAATAAAATTTTTTATTGTTAATTTGATTTTATTATTAACAATTTAATATAATTTAATTGAGGTTTTTTGTATCGATAATAGTAAAATTATTTTCTTAGAAATCATTCTTGAACTTTTTTAACTTAAAATCTGTCCCAATTTTTTTATTTTTTAAAAAATCAATTCTTTTTTTTAAAAATTGATAACTTTCTATAAATTTTTTTTTAATGAATGTGAAATGATCCTGCTTTTGAAAATGACTTTTATGCTAATTTATTTATGCATTTTCTTTGTACTTTTATGCTAATTTATTTATGCTTTCAACTTATTATTTCAAATCTAAGAAGCATTAAAAAATTATTTTTATTTAACTTTTGTATAAAAAAGAAACCGGGTGGCTGAGCAATGAATTAATGTTCTTTTATAAAAGTTTTATTTACTCCAAGTTTATTATTTTTAAGGATATTATAGTAAATATGAAAAATATAAAAATTTGCAAATATTTTTAGAATTAAAATAGTATGTTTACTTTTTATGACGCTAATAAACGAAATTTGTTACGCGAAAGTGAAATATATTTTAGTTGACACATGTGCTTGTGTTGATTGAAATGTGCCTTAGATTTGGATGCTGGCTTAGTTTTTCTTATCTTCCAAAAAGAATTATGTTGGTAATTTTTTACATTAAAAATTACATAATTTATTTTAGCTGATAATATATATTAATCTAATTTTTATCTCAGTTATTGGAATTATTGTTTTTCATTTTTACACAGAATCAAGTTTTTTATTTTTAATTTTTTTTAAAGTTTGTATTATTTCTGTACAGATTGCTACCTAAAAAATATGAAAATAATATAAAATAAAAACTGTCACTGATTTTATTTTATTCAAGGCTTCACAGAGTTATATGGGCCATGGGACGAAATTTATTTCTGGCCCCTTCCTCAAAGTACAAACATTTGTTTTCATATTTCATAAAACTTTTGAAATTCCTCCATTCCAAATTGTATTAATTCTCAAAAATTTATTTTTCTAAAAAAATAATTAAAAAAAAGAAAGCCTGGGCAATTGTCCCCTTCCCCTTCAGTATGACCAAGGCCTGTTTATAGAAATTAGGGGGCCCTAGGCACAGAATTGTCAGGGACCCCTGGTCGGTTCCTTAAACAAAATTCACCTATTGTTTAGTTATAAATTATTTTTAAATTATTTATAACATAGGTAAACTGCAGTATATTAGTAAATTTATTCTGATATTTATATCTATTTTCGTGAACTCATAATTCTAATGGATAATTTTAAGGAAAAAGATCAAAAGAAATGTTTTGCAACATTTAGGGGGCCTTTCTGGCCTTATGATAAATCAGACATTGAGTTCGACCTTGATCGTATCTTTCTTTCACAAAATTTTAGTTGCGTGAAACCAATTAAAATGCACTGAGCCACACTTCTAAAAACAATTACGGAGAATACTGGAATACGTATATATGATAAATATATATTAGCAGTAATTTATAGTTACAGTGTTTACGTATCACATTAACTGAATTTCTATTGCTAATGATTGAACATCTTACAGAAATATTTTATTAATTTTCAAAGCAATTAATTTTCATTCAAATTTTATCAATCAATTAGTTCCTATAAAGATCAGGCATTTGAAAATTCAGTTCATTCAATTCTCAGAGCTGAAGGCCTTTTATTACTTTAAACTTGACACAATAATACGTGCATGAATGAATCATAGCATAACTGATGGTATTTTGTCTGATATGAAACAAAGCTAACATTTTACTTACCTTTTATAAATCTCATCGTTAGTTAATAGCGAAGTTTGCGTGTGTTTGAAGTACAAACAAGGAAAATTGTGTTACTTTCTTTTGAATAAAGAAAGAAAAGAAAAAAAATTTTTTTTGGACGATATCATTTGTTTGCAATAAAGAGGAAAGCATCTTTCTTTTTAAATAAATATTGCGAAAACTTTTGGTGATTATTTGTCTAATTACGATTGGAGCACTTTTTTCTGTTGAAGAGACTGATGTTTTTCTGAATTTTTCGTTAGATTTCCTTATTATCGCTTGATTTATAATACAAATTTTTTATTCTATTAATATCGATTTTCTTTGGATCTAATTAAAAATAGATAATGGCACTTTAATATTTTTTACTTCTTTTTTTGTTGATTAATTGTTTATTCTTTTTATAAACTGTAAGGAATTTTTATTTCATTTTTTTTTGGATCTAATTTTAGGTAGCTAGGCAAAGCATTTTATTTTCAATAAAACAATCAAAGTAGTCATCTCTATTAAATACGTTTAAATTTTAATTATTTATTTGAAACAAATTATGAAATTTTGCTGGTTTCAGAAAACATAAAGATGGGGTTATTGTAATAGCCGTAATGTATACTTTTTAAAATTCCAGACACATTTGAACATTTTTAAATGCCGGCGTGAATTATAAATATGCATAATTACCAAATTATGAAATTAATTTTAAAACTTGTTCCGCTTAATCCTAAAACTTATCACATTTTCTCAGATTTATTCATGATGTAGCAGATATACTGTGTGCTTCATGTCTATTATGCTAAAGCAGATGAAAGCTTTAAGGATTTAGCTTTTTGTTTATTCAACTGAATATTTAGTTACTGTATCTTAAATTTTAAAATATTTTTAATTTAGGAGGAACTTAACGTGTTTTTTTTTCGGTCATTATATGCTGATAATAGTTAAAACACATTTATTACGTTCCCTGGCTTAATTAGGCTATTTTCAATACATTTTCGATTCTATACTAGAATGTCTAATAAAATCCTGAGACTACAAACATTGTTCGGACTTCACGGAAAGTATTTCAGAAATTTTTTAAAAATTATTTTTTTGTAGCTATCAGAAAAAAAGCATACGATTGTTCCTGAAATTTTTTTTTGAAAAATATTTATTTTTAGTTCGAAAATAAAATATTTTTTCAAAATTTGTTTGCAGATAAACAGTTAAGGGAAACGATTTGAAGTTCCTCTCGTGTTTTAAATGAACGAAAATTATAACAATTATAGCAATAATTATAACAATATTAATTATATATAAATTATAGCAATAAATATAACAGATGTTGTTTTACAAACCATGCGGACATTTTATACAAGGTTCTGCTTCTGCGAATATATGAAAAATCTTCTTATAATTTTGTGAATTTTTTGGAAAAGGATTAAATTTTTCCGCTTTTTTCTTTTTTTTTTTTTGTTGAAAAATTTAAGAATTATTTCAAAACTGCAAAAATTGGGACTGTTTTTGATAATTGGTGGAAAATTTGTCTAAAATTTTTTGACTCTAAAATTAATTCATTAATTTGTGAAAATAGGGTCCTATTTTTGGGGGGTTTGTGCAAAAGCGGTAACACCATTGGTCTGTTCAGTTTTTTGTGTGAAAGATCCTGTTTTGAGGAATTTCTAAAAAAAAAATTAATAAATTTTTGTATCTAAAACTAAACATGAAGTCTGGTTTTTACTGACATGGTTCTGTGTTTGTGGAAAAAACACAAAAAACATATCTATCATGGAGTTATAATTTTAGAAATATGAATTAATTACGTCATTGACTTGGCTTTTATAGGAAGAATTTTGTGAAGGCCCTTCACAAAATTCTTCTTTGAAATGAACCCTTCACTGAAGGGTTCATTTTAAAAAGGAAAAACAAGGAAAGTTTTTTTCCGGAAATTTATTTATAGACAATTGTAATTTTTTAAAAGATATAAATTTAATACGTATCCTACGTAACAAAAATGATAAAAAGTTTTAAAAAAAAAGTAGAAAGAGAGAGAGCGGGATAGAAGGGAAAAAAAATAATAATGCAATAAAGATTCTAAATTTCTTTTGGATCTGGAGCTAGGAAAATATTTTCTTTTTAAAAATATCTTTCTAATTCTTATTTTTCATGAATAGGGAAAGGGGTGATAACATTTTAGTAGTTTTAAAATTATGAACTAATGAACTTACCATCGTATGATCTTACCAACTACGTACCATGGTTTGAACGAACGGTTTTGTGAAGTTGTTCGTTTTCGAAATTAAATATTCTAAATATTTTGTAAAGAGGTCCAAACTTTCATTTAAAAATTCTTTCTTTAAGAATTTTTTTTTTTACTATTTAATTTTTAACTACTCATCGACATTTTACATTTTTTGTTGTTGCTTAATCTGCATATCTACATAGATTTTAACCCGATGCATGAAATATAAACATCGTGACCTTAACCGAAGAACTGCGAGATGGTTGTTGCACTTAATATCGGTATCGGGGTCGTTATTTGTAATTTGCATGTTCTGTTTCTCCTTCCTATATGATAATTAAACATGATGAAATACCAGGTAGCAATGACATTAATTATTTTATTGACCTTTGTATTTTTTTTCGAATAAAAGTTGTATTTTAACTTTAAATGTTCATTCATTTCCCCCTCAAATGTTTTCCAATAAATGTATTAGTTAAAAAAAAAAAATAACTAGAAGGTTAAATAATTTAGTTTACATAATTATTCTATTTTGTTTAAACTTTTTCTGCAATGACCTAAAGATAATGGAATTATAAAATGGCAACTACGGTGGA